TTAATTAATATAGGTTCTTAATATGTTCAACAATTTTTATTGAGCTCGAAGCCGTTTTCNCCGTTCAGTTGGGAGTTTTTTCCTTCCATTTAATTAATATAGGTTCTTAATATGTTCAACAATTTTTATTGAGCTCGAAGCCGTTTTCAATGAAAGCTATTTCGGAAATCACCACATTTCCTCATCAGACTTCTTTCAGTACGATTCGAACCGACGATCCAACTGACTCAGCCAGTTGCCTACGTACTGTGCTAAGTTCGCCTTGTTAATTCTTGTTGCTTATTTCCACTATTTCACTTGCTAAGCCACCTATCGGCCAACATGTAAATAATATAACTTCCAAATATGAATCATATCGGACCATAAATACGGTGCTTTCGCAACCTGCGTCAGCTTGCATATGATTTAGTATATTTCATATTGCATCTTCATCGGGTTCTGAACCAAGTTGAAAGTTTCAAGTCTCTAGCTCTCCGGGACGTTGGATAAAAACTAAGCTTGTAAGAAGTTTGGACCATCTGAACCGTTTTCGATAATTCTTTTTTTTTTATTGGAAATGCGGTACCCTAGGGGTGGTCCCATACCAATTTGGTTTAGTTCAGATCATTGGATCATGAAGAAATTACCCGTATCTTAAATTTATATGCGAGAATTGAACTCTTTTCAGTTCAGTTCAGTTTTTTTATCATTAAAAATTCAGATTTTTCGTGTTCAAATATTTTTATTTTAACTAAATTGATACTTAAAACGGAATAATATAACACGTAACAAATACAATAATGTTTAACTTAAATATCAAATATTTCCAGCACACAAATTTGAAGATAATAAATAAAGTAACTAGGTTTTTAAACTAAAATTCCACAACTGGCTATTAAAGGAAACTAAAACCGCAAGTATGCAAATGTAATCGAATCCCTTGCCGTTAACCAACTTTCAACAGGACTTTTCAAACACGGCACTATTTACGTAAGTACATATATTTGATACGATTTAATAAGTAGTCATAAAATAAATATGTCTATGTAATTATCCTTTTTACAAGAAGGCTTTATTTGATAGTAAGAATGTAGAATGCGCAACATTTGTTTTGTACATAAATATTTTATTTATTTATTAGAATGCAACCGTTTAGTGTGGCATATTTTAGAATCTGTATGGTCAAAAATAGTGTAAGAAAAAAAATTATTTCAGACAAAGGAATGTAAAAATCTTATATAGAGTATATACAAAATGCATATATTGATATATTTCATAGCGTTATAGTGCGTGTGTATGCGTATAATAATCGTTGGTATATCAGTGGGTAAATACGAGTACATTAACTTAAGTCGAGTACATTATTTGAGTAGTTAATACATACATACATATGTATAAGAATTTATTCAAATAAAGGACTTTAAACGATATGTCTGTTACAATTCTTAAACGAATGTTTTTTAGTTTGCTTTTGGATATGGAAAGGTCAGTTGCGTTTACTTTTGCAATATTAAACAAAAAATGCTACATTTCTTATATGTAGCTTTTAGGAATGTGAAGCATTGCTTTTCTTTTTAAAATTACATACATACATATGTATATATATTGCCGGGGCTTGTTTTTTTTTTTTAATAACACACTTTGTTTCCTTTACAAAACTTCATACATTCAGCGAATTTGTACCACTTTTGTAAAACAGAAAATATATTTACTAGAAAAGTGTGATAATCCAAAAGAAGCTCAAGAACGATTATCAAAGTTAGCTAATTAATAACAAATGCGTTCCGCCTGCTTGGTTTAGAAAATATACCCTCGTCTGTGCATGTCCTGAAGTTCCATTTTGAAAAGAAATCAGTGATATCATTATTTTTGATTAAGTACTTTAGGCCAAGTAAAGCTTTTATATTTCTTATCATAAACAGTATGGTATAGTATTTTGCACATGAGAATTCTCGATTGATGTAGGATTATGTACCCACATAATTAGGTATGTCTGTATGTTCTTTTTCAGCACAGGAATTCAAATCCATCAAATGCTCATCTTTCCAACATTACATTTGATGGCAATGGCTAAAAGGTGTACCAAAAGTTTTGATTTATTAATCGTACATTTGTAGTATGTATGTATATACTATTTAACTATAGTTTAAGTAAACGCATATATTTAGTCATTTATGTATGTAGTATAGAAAATACAAAAGTGTTCATTTGCTTAGTTGAGTATACTGGAATACAAACATACATATGTACAAGCTATTAGCAAAGTCTAGGTTATCTTGTTTGTTTATTAGTATTGTTTTTATTAGTAGCTATTACTTTGAAAAATATCCCTAAGGCGTTTGAAGATGTTTTTTTTTAAATCTTTATTCCATGCTTGTTTGTACTTATCACGTAGTATAAATAAAAATTGGAACTTGCTTTTTATGACTTATTTGGTGAGTGGTCTTTTTTCTAACTTGGGCCGTTACAGGTGTCGTTTGTGCATCGATGCCATTTTATTTTTTCATTTGTAAATCTTATCTAATAACAAGACATTTGATACAGTGATTATTAATCGAACAGGACGCCAACTTTTATTGCAATTCCATTGTTTGTATGGAAAATATTCTCGTTAAATTTGGGAGTGAAAATGGATTTTATAAGCCTTAACAAGTCCTACGCATAGATACATTTCCAGCTGCATTCGTTTTTTTTTTTCAAAGGTAACATTAAAGATGGACACATTGCCAGAACATCGTACAAAACGTAACTTTGAAGTCGCTTTTTCAAAATTTATTTTTTAATTTTCGCTGTTTTTAAGCTAAAAGGTGTATTTTATAACAATGTGTATTGTCTTCCGTCTTGTCGTTTTTATAATGAAAAAGTATTTCAACAAAAAACGAATGTTTCCACTTGTTGGAAGAGGTTTACTGTATGCGAAATGTATTATATTGCATGCGCATATGGTATTCGAAAAGTATACCCATTATATCTCCCTTAAACCAAAGCTTATCTCTGAATATAGAATATTCCTAAAAATAATAAAATGAATAAATTAGGTGGTCCTTAAATGTAGGAAGCAAATTCTTAAATCAGAATTTCCTAAGCCTCAATCCTTAACGTTGACTGCGACTATAGTGAAGATATCACATTCATATAAATTTTGGTACGGTCCCGATTGGAGATGGTTAAGGTGTGTCGCACAGTGGGCAAAGTTCAGATTCCTCTATGGAGACTCAAAACATTAAATTATTTTTTTCATAATCAAAATCGATACACCGATAGTCGCAGATATCACATACAAATTTTGGTACCGATTGGAGTCGGTTAAGGCGTGTCGCACAGGGGTCAAACTTCAGATTACCCTTTAAGACGGCTTAACCGACTCCAATCGGGACCAAATTTAAAATGATATCCTTGACTTTAGTAGTATCGATTTTGGGTATTAAGTTACAAAAAATATTTTTAATGTTTTGAGTCCATAGAGTCACTGGCCTTTGACCCCTTTGCGACACGCCGTAACCGACTCCAATCGTGGACCAAAATGTATATGATGGATATCTTTGACTATGGTAGCATCGATTTTGGGTAGTAGATAAAAAAAAATAATATTAAATTTTTTGAGTCTCTCATATAGGATCTGCACTTTGCGCCCTGTGCGACACGCCTCAACCGTCTCTAATCGGACCAAAATTTATAGTGATATCTGGACAGTGCTATTACCGATTGAAGGATGAACTGGAAGAAATCGTACATTTGATTTTTAAAGACCACCCTAATGTACATATAGCATCTCTCACTTTCTTTTCATTTACATTCATTTTATTTGTTTCTTGTTCAGCACTGCCGCAAATTCTTTGCTTTAAGATTTTCTGTGCTTATATATTTGTTTTTTTTTACTTAATATCACTCATAGAAAAACAATCGATAAAAAATTTCAATTGTCTAGATTTGCTAGTTCTATATAATAAATATTATCGTCAGTGCTATCATTGGTCATTATCAATAACGACGTTATCATTATAATGCTTAGACAATAGCATCAAAAATACAATGTATGTACGTGCATTATTAGCACAATCATGCGACATCTACATCATCATCCATCATCGTCATGAACGCCATCATCAAACACTTCACAATACAACACAGTGCGCATTTCATTATTTTGCCGTTATCATCATCGATCGACAGGTTTCTTTTTATTTTATTACATACATATAAATTAAAACAAGCGTATTCGATAAAAGTTCTTTAATTTATTACATTACTTTATTTTTGGTTTGTTGTTGCAATTCTCTAATGACCTAGATATCATTTAAGCCTTTCACTATTTGCCTTTACACGCACACACGCGCTATATTTCGGACTTTTCTGTACTTTGACAGTCCTTTGGACGAGAGATTTGATGAGTCTAAAGCGAATTATAGTGTCTTTTACAAAAAAAAAAAAAAAAAATGGCGGCCCTATGCCGCGCACACTCACTTACATATCTCCTGTTTCCATGGCAGTATTAATATCGCTGACGATTTTTCCCATTAATTCACGATATGGCGAATCGGGTTTGAAGGCGGTTTCAAGGAGTGAAGCATCACCAAAAAAATCAAATACTTCATCGATGCGATTTAAAGACTTGTCGGTGAGGTGGCGTTGAACAATTGACTTGAGGGCGGCATGTGATTCGGCAATGGATTTTTGCAGATACGGCAGATCGAAGCTGTAATCCACTTCGTAGAAGGAAATCACGAGAGTTGTGTATTCTAGAAGGAGAAAATTTATTTAATACAAGCAGAGCACCCGACGTCGTTCGTGTATACAAATAAAAATATAAAAAGTAAAAAAAAAAAACAAGAAATGACGGTCGCTGTGGTGTAGTGGCCTGGGTTCAAATCCTGGTCAAAGCACAAATCAAAAAAAAAATTTAGAAAAAAGGGGTTTTCTTCTGTAGTTCTGCCATGAAAAACAGCTTCTCGTAAAAATACAATCGCCGTTCGGATCGGCGTACAACTGTAGGTCCCTCCCCTTTGTGTAACAACATAAGGCACACTAACATACATATGTAGCCAATCTATTATTATTATTATACTATTTTATAATTTAATTTAAGGCCTCCTTATGTCGGCCGTTATGGTTAGAAGTGCAAACTTGCAAACTCCGATCCCTCTTTAGTTTTGAATAGGACATTCTGTTTAGCTGTTTATTCGCAACAGGTTCCAAAGTTTCAGTCTCTTTTAGATTCGAACGAAGCGATGAATCAACTCAGCCGATTATTTTATTTTTAAACTGTGCATAAGTCTCGTCCACCTTTCCCGCTTAAATGGTTGTTGTACTTCTAACTGAATGCATCTGTATGTTGTTCTACCGTCATCAAACTAATGAAAAAAACTTTTTACCTTTGGTTGATGAAGTTGAACGAATAACAGACGCGTTCAGAAACAGGTAAAATAAACGGCTCATTTATCTGTGTGGATGCCAGTTGTCCCCCAAAGTGGCGTCATTTCCCTGATGCTGTTTAATCTACACACATGTACATATGTATTCATTGTCAAACTTCCTCAGCCGACAGTGGGTGTTCTCTTAGTGACTTAAGCTGGCAATTGCGCCATATTGGTGACGGCCAAAACATAGAAAATCTTTACGAAAAGATTATTGGCTTTTTCTCCGACCATGCAAGATCGTTTACCGCCAGAAAACTGCAAATTTCTGCGGCTAAATCCTCCGCCGCACTCTTCACAACATCAGTAAACGAAAATGGCCTAAACCGCAATGTCAACGTCGACGGCGCCAACAATTCTATGATAAATCGTCCCAAAATACAGCTTTCAGGATCGGAGCATGAAGATGAGAACCGGCAGGACAACTGGAGGCTTGCATCCTGTTCTACAACAACAGCAATAATCTTGGGAGTAGCTGTTGAACAATTTAGGAGTTCTTTTTAACATTAAAATGTATCGGCCGTCGAATCAATGGGCCAGATGAATTGCTAAGCTTTTATTCACACGGCCCATTGACTTTGAATGCTTTCCGATGACTACCCTACTCCCTGAATTTTCTCCATACAATACTTTTAGCAAACTTTCAAGTACCTACCTACATATTTCAATAAATTCACACCGATACTTTCGTATGCAAGCCAATATATTCAATTTAATTGCAGGTGTATGTATGTACGAGTACTTATAACGACTATATAATTGTAATCATTTTTATTCCAATTGACATCACTTACTTGAAACTTCCGCTTAAATACTTCCGCGTCCTTCAGTTCGTCGGTGCTGAATTGATTATTTCGATGTAGGACACCAATTTTGATAACGATTTTAATTATATTCTTTATCAGCTTCTCCGCTTTGACTTTGTTACCCGTCTATAATTGCGTATGCATACATATGTGAATATAATTGTAAAGTTAATGATTAGTGAATGAAATGAATCTGTACTACATATTAATATGCATCTTCGAGTAAAAAGTTCTCACACATAGTAATTGCTATATAGTATGTATGTTGGTTGGTTGGTGTAGATAGATGGTAAGCAAAAGTTGATTGGAGCGCACTTACATGCATTTTACAAAGGCGATATAAATTATCAAGCAGCGATGCGGTTGTGCCATCAATAAATGTTTTCGCTATATTCTTGGTGGCCATGCGCGAGAGGATCTTCTTCTGGGCACGCAAGCCAATGTCACGCGACTTGAAAACACTGTCAGCCATAACTGAATAAATGAAATACAAAGGGAATAAAAATAAATAAATAAATAAATAACAAATAAAGCAGTAGTCGCGTAAGAAAAATGCACAGTTATTTGCATTAAATATTTATTTATATGCAGAAATGAGATATGAATTAATGCATAATGATAGAAAATAAAAGATACTGTAATAAAAAAATATGCAAATTTGCAAAACTAAGACATCATCTATTAAATCATTGCATTTCCAAAGAATTATATGAATAAATAAAATAAACAAAAGTTATCAAAAAAAAAAAACAAAACACAAATGCATTCACTGCAGTCAAACTAAAGGCGACTGTCGATTTGCATGTGAAAATTGCTTCTCCCTCAAATCGAGTAAAGAAATTAGGAAGTGGGCGGGGTTACTGACTGCGCATAACAATGCATATAAAACTATAACAATGAAACTAAATACAATTCAAAGGATAATAGTGCAAACAGACTCACAAACGAATCAAAAGTGAAACACACATACGGAAAAACGCAAGGGTATAACGTATTCAAATTTGAAAAAGTAATCAAACGAATAAATTGATTTACGAATTGATTGTATGCAGTAAATGTGGGCAGGATGTTATATACTAGGCACTATAGCAGAATGGTTGCTTGTGCTGGGTTGGTTGGCGGGTTGTGTGCATGCTTGATTACCTTCTAGATTCCAATAGTCGACGCTCCACAGCAGTAGACACTGACGTAAACCTTCCGCTGCCATTTTAAATCCTTTTATCATAGTAAATTTTTTTTATTTTTTAATTTGAATGCAATTTTTGAATAGGAAGAAAAATGAAAATAGGAGAGAATTTTCAAAAAGAAATCGGTAGCATACATTAGTAAATGATATAGGTGCCGCCATTTACACGTGCGCTTAACTATTTCTACATTCCCAGAAGATAAATTACGTAGGCCTTCTTAAGTGAAGCCATTCTAAAAGGCTTAGCCAAGAAGGACTGAAAAAAGTGTTTCCCTGCATTACAAATAAACTTCGAAATGCATTGTAAGTAGTAAAAAACATATGAAGATTAAATAAGTACATGAGGAATACTGTTTTTTTTTTAAATAAACTAAAGAATCAACTTTAGAAGAACTCCACCAAAAGATCTTCTACAGTACATACGTCCTACAAAAGCTTTTCTGGAAGCCATTTTATGGGCAGCGAAAGCAGAAGCCGTCCAATCTATACGAAAAAGGAAGGAATGCAGAGTGGAAGGCCTCTTTACTCTCAGGGAGGGCTTTTAGCCCTTAAATAAGTACATGAGGAATACTGTTTTTTTTTTTAATAAACTAAAGAATCAACTTTAGAAGAACTCCACCAAAAGATCTTCTGCAGTACATACGTCCTACAAAAGCTTTTCTGGAAGCCATTCTATAGGCAGCGAAAGCAGAAGCCGTCCAATCTATACGAAAAAGGAAGGAATGCAGAGTGGAAGGCCTCTCTACTCTCAGGGAGGGCTTTTAGCTCCTGTAAATATCTACTGGGTTTGTAAGTATGTAGATGTTCATGTACTACATATACTTATAAAAATGTGTCTAAGTATGTGAAAATATGGTAGATGGCATGTGGGCGCGTGTATGCATTAACGTTTAATATTGTTAGGAGTATTTTCAAATTTTGATCGCGTGCCAAGGAAGAATTAAAGCATGTATTGCATACATATAAATATACATACATATATTGTCACTTAAAGGTGAAAAGGTGCCAAGTCCATTTTTTGAAAATATTCAGGAGAGACGAAAAATCGATGTAGTTTGGCATTATCTGTCATCCTGCATAAAAAACTAAATTTTAGAAAAAAGTGGAGTTAAGGCCTTTTCACCCTTAGGTAGCGATATTCATAGTGGCACTACATTTTCAGTTATTATTAAAGGTTGGCAATAAGCACCTCCAGCGTACCAATAGTATATTGGTGTTTCTTTTATGTGGCCACGATTTGCCACATGCTGGTCGGAGGGAGTTCCTTTTTAGTGGTTTACTTCGTAATAATTACTTTACATGCATGAATGAGAGCTCTTAGTATGTACATACATACATAAATAAAAAAGGGACCCAAAGATATTTTACCTTGACAATATCTAATTAACGGTGTCTCAAAAAAGTGTGCAATATTTTTGAAGTGACGCAAGCTCGTTGTCGTCAAGCTCAATAAACGGGAATGCCGCTGAGGGCCTGTCGATATGCTGTCGGGTCCAGAGGTTGCTTAATGCACCAATGGACTTCGTCAGCCCGTTCGTATAGATGCCTTCTGACATGCCTTGGCGAGGGCTCCTCTGCAAGCAAGTGTCTCTTCGGGTGTCGTCCACGTCTGTGGCTCCCTACTAAGAACTGCTTGCAGTACTACATTGTGTTGTGCTCCTTTATGGGGAGCATTTGCGCCTCGTCATGCAGGTGATGTTCTGGTGACATCAGAGAAGACATCCGGTCGCTGTCCGGAGTGCTGTGTTTTCAGTCGACCGCAGCCTCATCCACTGCGCCCTACTGGTCCCCGGCGACCAGATTCTAAACTAACTATTGTCACTGTCATCCCAACTGGTATTTGTTATTGGAAATTTTTATCGATTAGCGATCATCGATTGTATTCAACATTAAAATTATTTTCAAGTATGTAGATGGTTTGCTACCGTGCACATCAGACCCATCAGCCCGATGTTTTGAGTGCTTAAAAGATCATTTCTTTGGCTAGATGTGTGAGAGTTCGCATAGTTTTTTTGACGTTAAATTTTAATACATAAATAACGGGATCATAAGAGTTCGTTTGGCGTAACTTTAGTTCTCTGAAAACATATGTATATATGTTAAAAGTATGTACTACTACTACATATTAATTGTCTAATATGGCTGCGAATAAAAACCCTTTTAAGAAGGAGTATGTTGTGACTACATATAAATCCCATATATTAATCAGCAGTTAATTGATTTTTTGCCGAAATAAATTTGAATACATGTACTAAGAATGTTACATGATATCATTATCAGCCAACATTGACACTTGTCGCACTAAAACAAGATTATTTCCGCANTTCTAAACTAACTATTGTCACTGTCATCCCAACTGGTATTTGTTATTGGAAATTTTTATCGATTAGCGATCATCGATTGTATTCAACATTAAAATTATTTTCAAGTATGTAGATGGTTTGCTACCGTGCACATCAGACCCATCAATTCGATGTTTTGAGTGCTTAAAAAATTTGACTAGATGTGTGAGAGTTCGCATAGTTTTTTTGACGTTAAATTTTAATACATAAATAACGGGATCATAAGAGTTCGTTTGGCGTAACTTTAGCTCTCTGAAAACATATGTATGTATATATATATATGTAAAGTATGTACTACTACTACATATTAATTGTCTAATACGGCTGCGAATAAAAACCCTTTTAAGGAGTATGTTGTGATTAAATATAAATCCCATATATTAATCAGCAGTTAATTGATTTTTTGCTGAAATAAATTTGAATACATGTACTAAGAATGTTACATGATATCATTATCAGCCAACATTGACACTTGTCGCACTAAAACAAGATTATTTCCGCGAATAAATGATTGATCGAAACCGTGCTAAAAGAAAAATTTAATGGAAATGATAATTATTTATGTTAGAAAGAAGTTGCGGGCCTAAAAGGTTAATTAATTTATCTATGTAGTATATACGGTGGCGGGCAAACAAATGGAGATGCGACATTTTAACAAGTTTTGGCTACTTTTTTTTTGTTTATTTAATATTTATATTCATATTTGAAGCGGTTAGAATCATAAGGGTCTTAGTGACGTTTTTTGAAAATATAAGTTATAACCATATTTTTTAGTTAAATATAGTGTGTATTTGGTGACAAAGAGTAACATTCATTTAAATTAGTTAATTAACCTGCATTTATTTAGGCAAGAATCATTTCAAATGCATTTACCCAGAATGTACAACAAGTAATCAACCTTAACCTTAATTATCTCAAAAAAAAAAAATATCAGACCTACTTAGATCCTTTTGATTCTAAGCCCTTCATTTGTAAAAACCATGTTAGTCAAAATTTTAAACTTGGTACAAAATGTTAGGTATGTAATTTTGTAGCCCATTAAATCTTATTTAAAAAATTTACTTTGAAATGTGGATGCTAAAGATTATTAGTACAAAAAAGTGTGAGTACCGGTCCGTCAGGTCTTGAAATTAGACAAATGTTTTAGAGAATTTTATGTAGTTTTAGAATAAATAATTTGATCTTTGCGCGCGACTTTGCAAATATATGTAATTTATGATCTTGTTTTTGATGTTACACTCAACCCTATAAAAGAGCACGTTTTTGCCCTCTTGTCTTCAAAGGGCAGTGAATGTGCCTTTTTGACTTTACAAGAGTGTGAGATTTTAAGAAACGAACACAAAATTTTCGCACCCTTTGCCTTTTATTTAGAATCGAACACGAAAAGGGAAAGGGGCAATCAAAAGACGATATTTTTTGGTAGAAACGAAATCACCATAAAAATCCTGATGAAAGAATTTAAAATTTTGATGAAACTTGTCGAATTTTCATAAATTTTGAAATTCGGACTAACATGGTTTTTGTTAGATAGTGCGCTGTACTTTCATAAAAATAATAAACATAAAGTAAACAAAAGAAATATGGCCAAAAATATTTAAAACTTCGGGTACCTATTTATATTCCCGCCACTGTACATACGTTCGGAACTACAAATGTACATACACGTGTACGTACCTCTGCAACGCTTGGTTTTTCGATATTCTTTTATCTAATCGCAGTTTTTGTTTTCGTGTAAATTCCCAGTGTAGATGTTAGAAGACATGGTAGCAAGGGGTTGGGAGTTGTTAACTAGCAAATAGATAATATATGCATAATTATGCATAATTACATGTATGTATAGGTACATACATATGTACTTGTTGAACCAATTATATTCTGATTAAATTCTGTAGATACATACTCGTCCTTTAGCAAATGTACTAACACCAAGAGAATGTTTGAGAGAATTGATCAAGTAAAACGTGATTCGGTTCTTATTGTGGTTTAAAATTTACTGTGTGAACTGATAATGGAAGAACGTTAACGTTCGAGGTAGGATAAAAGTGGCAAGGATCGAGGTGTTCTTGGATTGTTCTAAAGGTTTTTAGGAGTATTACGAGGAGTTTATTTTTGATGCATTGAATGATGATGAACCCCAAAACCCACCCCTTGTGTGCGCTAATGCCTACAGACATACATGCTACATGTGTATGTAGAAGATAGCGAGTCGTGGCCAAAAATCATTTACGAGATTTTATAATGAATGCTTCAGCAAAACGTATCGCAAACAACAAATAAACATCGACTTTTGGAAAGATAACAAGTTTGTCTAGTTTGTTTGGGGTCAAAGATTTGTTGGTAAGCAGTTTTGCGAAACACATTTGCATAAGCCGCTTAATTATTTATTTTTTTTTTATAAAGAACCATATCTATCATTAGCAAAAGTGCGCCTTTCAACAGTGAAAGATAAGCCAAGTTTTGTAAAACCATTAAGTGTATGGATTTTGTGGAAAAAACGCATTTACACAAATGTAGGTATTCATGACTTCCAATACTACTTTACTAAATTAAAAACAAAAAAATATGTATAAAAAGGCACCGTAAATGGTGAGCACAAATGACCGGCCAACAATTAGATAGCAGATACTCATGCACTTGTTTGGTGCTCCAGTCAGGACTTACCACATTCCAGCAGGTAAATATAGCGTGTGTGAGGCAAACAAGTT